AGACATATCCTGGAAGTTTTGTGTTGATTGGACAAACAATTTGTATTTTGTAGCCTGATTTGCGTTTTATCCCCTGCAGTTTGTTTGCATTTATAGCGCCCCCGGGTGTTCGATTTGAATGAAACTTTCAGGGCATGTTTCATTTACTTATGAGGACACATCCTGAAAGATTTGTGATGATTGGAGAATGAATATGGGATTTATAGTGTAATTTGCTTAATGCTAAGCACCTTTCTTGCGCTTGTAGCGCCCTCTAGGGACATATGTACATCAAACTGTCCAGGTATATCCGTGGCACCTATCTGAACATATCCTGTGAGTTTTGTGATGATCGGCCCTACGGTTGCTGAGCCACGCCCCTTTCAATGTTCATTGGTCCATATCTTGAAAAGTAATTGACATGCTTTATACGACTTTTAATAGACTTGATCCAATAATGATTTTCTGAAAATTTGGGGGCAATCGGAGCTATGGTCTAGGAGGAGATGAAACTTGCGATTTTCAAAAAATTCAAAATGGCGGAAAAAAACTCTAGGCGGACCTTAATAGTCCTTGAGGCTTTTTTGTAGAGCACATTGAGCTGCACCTGTGTGAGAAATTTTAAGTCAATCGGACTTACGGTGTAAGGGGCGTGGCCTTTCAAAGTTTGCATTTTTAAGCCTTAATTATAGCGCCACCATGTGGCCGATTGAGTTCATATTTCTATGTAAGCTGATGCACACCATTTCCAGTTATTCCCCCAAGTTTCATGTTTCTAGCTCATTCCAGCTCACGGGAATTTGAGCCGGCATGGCAGACAACAAATAATAACTAAAACATACAAACATAGAAGGGTTCTACTGCTACACGGTATGAACCCTAACCAGGACCCACTCAAATACACGCACATAAAACAAACTGCTGTGGAAGCAAGCAGATAAAACCAAATAGATCACATTACTTTCTAAGTAAAAAATTCTTGAGCCAGTAAAGAGTAGTGTCCATCTGCTGTGGATCTTTTGCTTTTTTTTGTAAAACCAATTGCTTGCCCCAAACACCCTCCCACAAAATCCACAGAAGCCAGTGCAGTGTTCCTAATATGTATACGTTTGTTATTTCTTCATCCTCTCTCTCCTGGCAGCTACTGTGAGAATCTAACCACTTTTTATGTAGGTTGAGCTGATACCAAGGAGTAGTGAGTTGCAGTAGTCCGGCCGTGAGGAGATGAAGGCGTGAATGAGTCTTTGAGCAGCAGAGGGTGTGAGTGAAGGTCTCATTTTGGCAATGTTGCGAAGGTGAAAGAAGGAAGTTTTAATGACATGACGGATGTGGGGCTCAAGGAAGAGGGTTGAGTCAAAAATCACACCTAGGTTGAGGGGCTGGGGAGATGGGGAGACAATGGTGCTGTCGATGGTGAGAGTGGGGTTATTGGCTTTGCTGAGAGTGGATTTGGAGCCTATGAGGAGGAATTCTGTTTTATTGCTGTTTAGTTTGAGGAAGTTGTGTTGCATCCAGGTATTAATCGCTGACAGACAGGAGTTGATGTGGGAGAGGGGGGGATTGTGGGGGGATTTGGTGCTGAGGTAGATCTGGGTGTCATCAGCATAACAGTGGAAGTTCAGGTTGAAGTGGCGGAGTATCTGACCAAGGGGGAGGATGTAGATAATGAAGAGAAGGGGGCCGAGTACGGAGCCTTGGGGAACGCCTCGGGAGACTGCGACTGTAGCAGAGGTGTGGTTATGAAGAGAGATGAAGTGGGATCTGTTGGAAAGGTAGGAACGGAGCCAGGTGAGTGCAGTACCTTCGATACCAAGATCTTTGAGTTTGGTGAGCAGGATGTTATGGCTCACGGTATCGAAGGCTGTACTCAGGTCAAGAAGAATAAGGATGTTAAGGGAACCGGTGTCAGCAGAAGTGAGGAGGTCGTTGAAGACTTTGAGGAGAGCAGTTTCTGTGCTGTGGAGGGGACAGTGAGGAGTTGAAGAGGTTAGTGAGGTAGGGGGAAAGGACAGGGAGACATGACTTCAAGAGTGGAGTAGGGAGGCAGTCAAGTGAGCAGGTAGTGGGTTTGGAAGAGCTGATGAGTTTAGAGATTTCAGGAGTGGTGACCAGGTCGCACTGGGAGAGGAGGCAGTGTGGAGGAGGAGGAGGGAGGTCAGATGGTATAGGGGGAAGAGGGTCCGTCGTAGGTGCTGGAGTAGATACTGGGAGGTCAGATGCAGGGGATAGAGACTGATAAATAGTGTTGATTTTATCAGCGAAAAAGTGAAGGAATGAGTTGCAGAGATCTGGAGAAGAGGTAGAGAGGGTCCAGTCCAGGTTTTTTGTGCAACCTGTTGGTGCGCACAGCTCTATGTGATGCAGCGGGGGAAGCATTCCGATGACATGGGAGAGGTGCGACAGAGCGTGCAGGGGACCAGATGGATGGAATGGATTGTCCGTGGTGAAGATAAACAAACTTGCGGCGAAGGCTTCTGTGGATGTAACGGGGTCGTCGAAGAAGTCTGAGATGTTTGATGACTGGGATGCAGGATGGAATGGAGTAGTTGATTAATTCGACCAGTTGCGGAGTTGAGTATTTGAACATGATTTCTGAGCAGAGGGACTTAGAGCTCCGTGATAGCAGTTAGCAATGGACTATGACTAGGGACACAGAGATGGATGACTTATGTAACTGCCAAAATGATCCACGGCATGACAGGAGGAGATGAAAGTCTCGGTCACGGCTTGCATCTGGTGAAGGTTGCCTGTGAGAAGGGCTAGGAAATCGGGTTAGCCGCTAATGCAGCTAGAGTTAGCCACCACGCATTGGATGAGCACGAGCAGCCAGCTAGCGGCTAACCGACGAGGCAGTAGTCCGGTCGAGGTGCCCAAGTGGCTCAGGAACCAGCTGAAAGGTCCAGAGGTAGGGGTACAGTGAACACAAACACTAACAAAACAAGCAAAGGAAAGAATAGCAGATGGAATAGCAGACGGAATAGCAGATGGAAAAGCTGCGAATAAACAGCGCCAGCGTCCTCTCACATCTCACTCTGTTTGTGTCTATTTCAAGTCACTGTTCATAAGAACACTAGATATCTACCAACCCACCCTGTTCTCCTCCTGTAGCTTAGAAATACACTTGACGCCTTCTACTATACTAGGCTTGGCTAACACGCTTGTCTTTGTGGTATGACTGTCAAGGAGGTCTGTTTCTAATGTCGCTGCACATTATGCCCTACACATCACAAATTACCTTCCATTTGATGACAACTAACAAACAATGACAAAAATGTAAATCTGTTGTTTCTGGCTTTGACAGCTGATAAATGGGGATGTTATGATTGCTTTACCAAATGTGGAGAAAGAGTTTTGAAGAGTGTCCAAACATGTGTCCACGTTTGCAACATGTTAAGGTGAAAGGGGACACACCTTATTAAAGCTTAACCGTGAGGACACAACCTTGCCATGTTATGGTGACACAGACCAACATTATCATCCCATTGGAGTGGTGTTTCTTAATGTAAGTTTCTACCAACTCACGAGAAACCAGCTAGTTGCTAACTTTGTCTGTCTGCTGTTTGGTGCTGCACAGTGCTATTGCTGGAAACAAAGCTGATGAGAAAGAAATTTGATGGCCAGAAAACCAAACATTTAGGTTACAGGGACTTACAGGAAGCTCTATACAGCTAAGGAGGGCAGCAGAGTTGCACAGTAAGCTACATATGTGATCAATTTAGCCAATGTTTAGACGAAAGAATGAAAATATTTATTGTTGCTGCTGAAAAGAAATTGCTCAACATTTAGCAATATATGGCTGTGAGCACACAGGACAAAGAATGTGACCATGTGTATTTCCAGCTACTACATTAAAGGTGCCCTGTGGAGTTTTCTTGTAAACAAAGTTTCTATTTAAATTCAGTATTTCTCATCACAACAGTTGTAATAATTAAATTATAGCCAGCAGTCTGATTTTTCCTTGCCTTTTTGAAGTATTGCTGCATATTTTGATATGGTACTGCTACCTGTTGATCAGTGGAATAGTGTGAAACCAGTGGTATGCATCATGCACATGCATCTGCCTCGTTTGCACAAGAGCAAACACAACAGGGACTCATTTTTAAAAGCATTGCTCAATAGCACTAGAAGTGATGAAAAACTCCACAGGGTACCTTTAAGTTTTCCTTAAAGCAGCTATACTTTTAACTTGATGTAACCCCCACATCTGAGTTCATTTTCATTGAACTTACAGTCAACTTTCAACACACTGCAACAGACATCACACACTCTTTGCGGGTAGTGTTAATTACACTGAGGATTTCATGCTCCTGTCCTGCTGACATTGGCAGGTTTACTTTCTCTGTTGACATGCTTTTGCAATTCATGAAGCCAAGTGGGAGATACTGGAGCCTACAGTAAAGTGTGCTTCCATTTCCACCAAGAGGCCAATATCTATCTTTTCGCTCCCAGCTGGCAGTTCATATTTATTCACCTTTCAACTTTTACCTCAACATGACAGCATGAGCTAAGATTGAACTGTTTTTTAACTATTCCCTTTATTCCCTCATGTACTCTGCTGTGGTCTTTAAAATTGTCTCTCTACTTTCTTTGGGGAGTCTCAAATTAGAACTTTCAGACGCTTATGTGACAAATAGTTATTATTGTGTTTCATGGCTTAAAGAGCTCAGGTAATCCAACCAGGGTGGGAAACCATTTACAGAATGTGACCCTCATGCTGTTTGAAATACAGACCTGAGTCCCTAAAATAAATCACATGCTACCTGTAAACACAGTACACTGCACAGCTATGCACTTCAAAACACCAACACCACCACTCACTAAGTCACATTTTAGCAATGTCAAATGACAGCCTATTTATATTCCACTGGTTTTCTACAGCTCATACTTGTACTGATGCAAGTTGACTGGGTTGACCATAGATGAACAAAATAACAAAGCACACCAAACCAAAATTGTCTTTGACTAGTGCTAAATAGCAAAAATATTGGAATCCTGCTAATGGCACATGCTCCTAAACTTACCTTCTCCCCTGCTTGTCCTTTTAAGCCCTGGGATCAGTCACAGCAGACACATCGCATGCAAAAAGGGTGTGAAGAGGAGAGAGACACAAGAGAGAGAGAGGAACCAGTGTTAGAACAACCGACAGGGTTTGAGGCATGCAGCATCCTATGGACAAATGATGGGAAGGTGATGACGGGGCTGCTGTATGTGTAAGTTAAGTGGTTCCTAAACAGAAGCTAAAGGCCTCAGTGTGCTTCAAACAGTGCTTGTCAGATGGTCTAACAGATAAATCAGCATTCACACCTTCTTTTATTATAGCTGCTTTCACCACTTATCATGCATAGCACCAATGCCGTTATTGCTTTTCTTTACTCTTTACAGTTTTTGTTGTAATGTGTCATTTTCTCAACGAGAGACTATCAAAATGTTATCCTCAACTCAGTTCTGGGATAGACGTTTGCCTTTAGATGTCGTCTGACTGCACTTTCTATAGCCAAGTTTGCTTAAAGCATACAGAGACCTTAAAGATTGCTGTGTGGTAAAGCTGAGGAGAGATGTGCAGCATCAAGATGGACTTAACAGACAGTGATACAGCAAATTTGAGTAAGGATTAAACATGTCACTTCACTTCCTTTGAGAATAGTCATAAGGGAAACAATTATTTTTTGTGTTTAGAGTTAGATTAGACTAGTTAGACTAAGATGTCAGTTCTACTGTCATTTTCATTTAAAATGAGACAAACAGTTGTACATCTTTCATGTAAATATACTAATCTCATTTAGGGTAAGATGAGATCGCGCTAACTGTCATGGCACGCTGTTTCTTTGTCCCTGAATTTGTCCCATCATCATTGTTCGTGCCATTTGTTTTGCTTTTGGTGGCGCCTCTGCTTGTTAATAACACTAAATCATCACTGGTTAATGAGCGTCAGGCACTTTTTGATATCTGGGATTCTTTTGGGAGGCTTTCACATTTTGAGGGTGGATATACCACAAATCACCCACTTTCCTGGCTACGGTACCAGAGGAGCTTCATTGCGGTGAGTCAATGGGTGCTTCTTAATTGCCTTAAGGCCCATTTATATTCCTGCGTAGGGCCTACATGCGTACCTACACCGTAGGCTACGAACGTAGCAATGTATTTATACTTGTGCGTAGGTGTGTCCGTCATTCTGCAATTACACCCCCAAAAGCTAGTCGGCAGTAGCGCTACAGCGTCCACTGTGTTGACTTTTGCCGGCTGAGCAGGCTAACTTCCAGTTTAGCGCTCCACTAACGTAAATGGGGGTAAAATTGTAAACATGCGGCTCGTGTAGGCTTTTCAAATGTTACTGAGAGGCGAGAAGCGAGGAGCGAGGATCAATCTCTGAGGAGCTATGAGTGAGGATCAATCTCTGAGGAGCTATGAGCGAGGATACACGAGTGCATCCTTCGCGAAAGTCTGCATCACAGACTGACCGACATGCCCCCTTACTGGAAAGCCGTTACTGATTGGACGCTGCAGCTGATCCTACCAACAGATTAAAAGTGTATCACTACCAAGTTTTATATTTGATTTGTTTTATGATTCACTAGTTAAAAGTTCAATGTGTAAGTTTAGTTGGAATCTAGTGGTGAGAGTTGCGAATTGCACCCCCCTTAGCCATCCAAGTGAGTTGTATAGCTACGGTGCCTGAGACAGGACAAAAGATGTTCTCTGTGAGATAGCAAAGAGTTGCCAGTCAAGAAATCAGGTTTCTTTACATTGATATATTAAGAAATTATATTTACTTGATTATTCAGTAAAACCATAAACCATATTATTGTGAATATTATTGTTACTTGTTCATTAAACAACAGCCACATCAAGAAATGAAGTGTTACATGATGTCTCATACTCCTCTAATACATTATTTTACTGTACTGTAATCGTACTTTTTGTTACATCTTAGGGTGGTTGGCTCATCTGGACTAACATACCAAAGTAAAAAACATCTCAAAAACTATCAAATCTAGTGCATCAAGTATGACCACTGACAGATAACAGGAAAATGTAAGCCTCACTGTTTCTGCACCACAGTCCATTCTAAACCACATGATACATAAGTTTACAAAGGCATTGGCTGGTGAGGCTCCTCTCGCTTTGCTGAATTAATTAGGTAAGCAATCTGCAAATCTTGCCAAATTATCTTTTTTATTTTTTTGAAATACAACAGAAACAAAATGTAGTATTAACAGCCATTATTTCAGCCTGTGGTAAAACGGTGCAACGTTTTTAATTGGCATTTAGCATGTGAAAGTACAAATTACACATTTGTGTGCACAGTGGCAAAGCACTATCCAATAATGATATAATGCAAATTCAGAAAGTATTCATTATTGGTCACTTGATAAGCACACGGTCATGTTATGTGTCACTATTAGCAGTAAAAATAAATACATGTTTTCCACCAGGGCAGTGAAATGTGAAGTTTAGCTGCTGATCTGAGCTTCCCTGCTGTTACCGTTTTATTGCCAATAATAATCATCAGCGGTTTGCCTCAGGAAGGTAAGGGCACATTTCTGTCCATGTAACAAAGCCATAACAGAGTGCTGTAGAATAACCACATTAAATTACAATCCAACAACATATTTTATCTTCCAGCTTAGCAAAAGTTTAGCTGGCTGATCTAATCTTAGATGCTGGAAGCTACGTTTTATTGCCAATTAGTGATTAGCTGATTGTCTCAAGAACATAACCTACAAAGCCAAAACAGAGCACTGGAGAGAGAGAGTCACTACATGAAATTAATCCAAATATATATTTTACACCACAAGCAAAAGCACAGCGCTGGAGAATAACTACATGAAATTATTTTTTTCTACTAGGGCAGTAAAAGTTTAGCTAGCTGATGCTTCCATGCTGTAAGCTAACATTACTGTTTCATTGCCAATTACTGATCAGCTGATTGTCTCGCTAACGTAACCGGAAAAGCCAAACCACAGCGCTAGAGAATAACAAGGCTACATGAAATTAATCCAACTAATGTTACATATTTTACACCACTGACAGGAGAAGCGCGTCACTTCTCTCTGTGATTATGGACGGCTTCTAGCTAAAGCTATCAAACAACAGCTTTCATTTGCATCGCTAAAGTCCGACTAACTTAATTACCTGTCCAACAGAAAACAGCTCTGCTTTGAAAACATCTGTCCCACATCAGAGCCTTCCATCCGGGAAAATCCACACCGATTATGTCCGTGATTTTTTGCCGTCATCTGTCTGCATCTGTCCCGACTCCGTCTGGCTTCATCTTATGAAGATCGACACACTGCCGGCTCTCGTGCTAAATAACATGTGCTCTTTCATTTGTCCAAATTTGTCACTTCCCTTCTTACTTCTAATAAACCAGAGGACTACTCAGAGACTGTTTATTATTATTATTTCCTCTTCTTCTTCTACGGACGCGTTCAATGTAGTGACGGGCGTCTATACTGCCAGAATTATACAAGCAGAAGAAGAAGGCTGTGGTGACGAAACGCGCTAGTTATGGATATTATATTGCATTTCTGTCAATAAATCCTCAGAAATATTACACACTGATCCTTTAAAATCACTGTGTTCACTGTAGGTCTTAACAACAAAAACACCACACACAACTTTCTTAATACATTAAAACAGATTTCTCTTTCCTGTTATTAACCCCATTAACTTTTATTATGGAGACAATTAAAGTCAGAGAGAGTCGGAGAGTCTGTTAGGAAAAACTTTTACATCAATTATAATAATTTCCATTAGTCACATGTGAGGCTGATCATTCCTGAGTGTTTAGTCCAAATACGGTAGATGACAATAAGAGGTAATAAACGAATAAAAAGTCACTAAACTGCAGTGAAGACTCAAGCAAAGGAAGAGAAAGCCTGCACATCCAGCCTATCCAGCCTGAAAGCAGCCAGCGGCTCTATCAGTAAAATGAAAAAAAAAACTAAAACGTTGAATTGATATAATGGAACACAGTGCTTGATCGATAATGTATTGAGAGGGAACGCAAAGTATTGCGAGGTAATGCAAAAGTAGTCCTCAAAACAAATTCCTCTCCTGACCCTTAGGAGCCACTACTTGCAAATTAAATGTATCAAGTAGTGTTAACCTGTTGGAAACTGACACCTTTTCCTGGAAAAACGCCTAAAATAACATACCTAAAATGAATCAGGAATAACTCCTCAACCATTTGCCTAGATGCATAATTCTGGTCTCCTTGAAAGGTCAGAAGCTAAGGAATATAAATTCATTGTAAATTAACACATTTATTTTACCATTACAGACTGCGGACAACTCAGCACAACACCAGTGAAGCTGGGTTCCGTCTCTTCAGCAAGTGTTTCTCTTCTGGCACCACACATATGCTCGCTACGCCTACACATGCGCACGGACGACCCAGGGTTAGTGTTACAATTTTGGATTTATTTACACACTTTAAAAACATTTATTAAAAGTGTTAAAAAGCATGTAAAAAAGTATTTTTACATGTTTATTTACAGCATTAAGTGTTGAAATGTATATTGTAATAGGCAGTATATTTAGTTATTGTCAGAAAACTGGTTGTTCTATGTAAAATCAGACGTTGAGCACCCCCATATAGCCAAAATGGCATGATCCTTGTTTCACTGCGAAGCTTCGACTGTGAGATTGATAGTTGAATCAGGCTCCGCCCATCGAAGCATCGAATCTTATATGTATGTATATATATACAGTATATATATATATTAATTAGTTAATTGTATTACCACAATTAACTAATTACAATGTTTAATTATCAGCAAGTCTATGCTTAATTGGCACATGGCCAACAGTCACAGTGCTCTCAGTGCTGCAGTCATCAAAATAGCAGTCTTTCTCTTAAGTCAAAGAAATGATATGTTGCTTTTGCCACTGGCCATGTCATAAGAAATGTAACCACAGTGCTCTTGATGCACAAAGTCACTCACCATTCTTCCAGGAATACCCATACTTCCTCTGTCACCCTATTGGCCAATGCAATAGAAGGAACAGGGTCAATACGAAGTTTAGACTGAAGACAGAAGTGAACTCTTAAAGGGATACCTTGACATGTAGACTTACAGGCTCTTCTCATCAAATTAATTAGAATCTTATTCCACTGACACATTATAAGAACATCATATCACTAACATCGGTTTGTAATAAATATAATAAATAATCTACTACAGAGAAAGAGGTGCTAACACTGATTATACAGAGTTTGTTAAAGTCCTAATGCCATGGTATCCATTTAAGGTATATAATCATTTTTGTTGAGAGGGCTTAGTCAGTTACTGTAACCATGCCGTGCATAGTGTTAAGACTAGAGCATTCCATGACACTGTGACAGTGTAAAAAAAACAACACAAAAAACAATTTGATGCAGGCATGACCAACCCTGACTCCTGATACGTTTCAGGTGTTTTGATCATCAATGCAAAAAGAGGATCGACTATTCCTTACATCATTTGAGGCAAGTGGTTGGTGTCTATGACAAGGCCCTGCTCTATAGCTTTAGATGAGGATATCTATTTCCTTTTTCCTATTTCCCTCCTGAAGCACTGTTCTGATCAGCTGTCTCCAGTGTTCACAGACATTTTTAACACCTCACTGGAGACATGCCATGGTGCCAGCCTGCTTCAAAGCCTTCACCATCATCCCTGTCCCCAAGAAACCAAGGACCACTGGACTAAACGACTACAAACTTGTCGCCCTGACCTCTGTGGTTATGAAGTCCTTTGAACACCTTGTGTTGTCCCACCTAAAATCCATTACAGACCCACTCCTGGATCCCCTGCAGTTCGCCTACAGAGCCTACAGGTCTGTAGATGATGCTGTAAACATGGCCCTTCACTACATCCTCCAGCACCTGGACTCCCCAGGAACCTATGCCAGGATCCTGTTTGTGGATTTCAGCTCTGCTTTTAACACAATCATACCGGCCCTGCTGCAGGACAAGCTCTCTCAGCTGAACGTGCTTGACTCCACCTGCAGGTAGATCACAGACTTCCTGACGGACAGGAAGCAGCACGTGAAGCAGGGAAAACATGTCTCTGATTCCAGGACCTTCAGCACCGGATCCGCTCAAGGCTGCGTTCTTTCCCCCCTTCTCTTCTCCCTGTACACCAACAGCTGCACCTCCAGCTACCAGTCTGTCAAGCTCCTGAAGTTTGCGGATAACACCACCCTCATTGGGCTCACCTCATTGGGGATGAGTCCGCCTACAGGTGGGAGATCAACCATCTGGTGACCTGGTGCAGCCAGAACAGTCTGGAGCGCAACGCCGTGGAGATGGTCGTGGATTTTAGAAAGAGCCCAGCCCTAACCTCCCCCATCATCCTGTGTGACTCCCCAGTCACCACTGTGGACTCCTTCCGCTTCCTGGGCACCGTCATCTCCCAGGACCTCAAGTGGGAACTGAACTGAACCTCCCTCACCAAGAAGGCCCAGCAGAGGATGTACTTCCTGTGGCAGATGAAGAAGTTCAGCCTGCCAAAGACAATGATGGTGCACTTCTACACCGCCATCATTGAGTCCATCCTCACCTCCTCCATCACCATCTGGTACGCTGCTGCCACTGCGTATCATTTGCTCTGCAGAGAAGGTGATTGGCTGCAATCTTCCTTCTCTTCTGGACCTGTACTCCTCGAGGACTCTGAGGCGAGCAGGAAAGATTGCAGCTGATGACTCCCATCCCGGCCACAAACTGTTTCAGACTCTCCCCTCTGGCAGGAGGCTGCAGTCAATCAGGACCAAAACCTCTTGCCACAAAAACTTTTTTTCCCATCTGCAGCTAGCCTCATTAAATAGGCCCGGGTCCCCTACAGACACTCCCCCCTTGCAAATGATACAAATGTCTCTGTACATGTAAATACTGTTTCATCTTGTGTCGTGCACAGACCTGGCACGTAGCACATATTTGTTGTTGTATATTTTTATGTTGTCAGTATATATATTTATATGTACACAATATTCTCTTCCGTTGTGTTACTTCTGTACGGCACAGACCCAGAATAATGCACATTCATATATCTGCAACGTTGTTCTTCCATTCCATATTTAAATATTTCTACATTTATTTATGTTGACTGCATGTTTGTCTACGTGTAGCACCACAGGAAATTCCTCATATGTGTAAAACACTACTTGGCAGTAAAGCTCCTTCTGATTCTGATTCTGATAAGGAGAGTTGTAGGGCCTTAGATGGATAAAGGGCCATAGGTCAGAGTGTTCACCTGTGCTGAGGAGCTCTCATCTGTGAGAAACGATTTGTGGAGACACATTGCATGACCGAGTAGACTGTGTATATTTTTTGGAACATTTGTGAACAACCACTTTCCTAATAATTAACTCATACATCATGGACATCTTCAAGTCTGAGAGATATTCACTTGTTTCCCACAAGTAATATACTACAGATCAGTGTTTTCATAAATATTTACAGCTCAATAAAATTAATCTGTAATTTTCTGAACTATAAACCAGTACAGAATTCATCTCTTTAAATCAGGGACTGAAAAAGATTTTACTTTTACTTTACTCATGCATATTGTTGAAAAAAGATTTTATGATAACTGTTTAGAATGTTATATCTCAGATTTGTGAAGTGATCCACTGTTTGCCACCAAGTGTTTGTTCTGACCCTGAAGAATAGTTTAAAAAAAACAATTAACCATCTGGTTTCTTTAACTTTTCACCCAGGAGCAAAAGCCTTTAAACTGATTTGACATTTATTGACAATTATAGAAGTAAAAATCGTTTCAGTTACTTATTTAAATTAATTGTTATTATTCCAGCTCTCATGTGCTGTGTTTATTTATTTTGCTTGACTGTTTCTTGTTTTCATTTCTCTCTCAGTTGTCTTCCTATGTCAGTTGTTTATTGCTGCTGTTTGGCTGGTTGTCTCTTTATTTTTGCTTTTTGTTTTTTGTTTATTTGTTTGTTGTTAGTTTTGCACCCTCCTCGTTCTCTTGCAGGTTTTGTTGCTTTCTGCAATTGGTGTTTACTTCTGCTATTTGCTGTTGTCCCCACCCCCATTCTCTTGGGGCGGCTGGGGCTCAGGAGGTAGAGCGGGTTGGCCGTTAATCGGAAGGTCGGCAGTTCAATCCCTGGCTCCCCCTGGTTGCGTGTCGAAGTGTCCTTGGGCAAGATACTGAACCCCGATCTGCCCCTGGCAGCTATTGCGCCAGTGTATGAATGAGTGTGAATGCTAGTTTCCGTTTGAGCACTTAGGCTCAGTGTATGAATGTGTGTGACTGGTGAATGCAGATGTAGTGTAAAAAGCCCTTTGAGTGGTTGAAAAGACTAGAAAGGCGCTATACAAATATGGAGCATTTACATTTGCAGGTGTTGTTCTTTCTCTGTGCTGTCTGTTTGTGGGGTGTTTGTGTCCCCCATTCCCATGTCTGTCACCTGTCCAGCCCAGTGACAAAACACATTTAAATAAATAAAACAGACAAAGGAGTATATTAATAGTCTCTTTTTAAAGTAAAATCTGTCTGGCACAATATGGTATCCAGCTTCTCACCAGAAACAAAGAAAAAAAAAAAAATACATTTATTTGCAGTAATCACAAAATTCAAACTTCATAAAAGTAGGTCTTATAGCCATTAGATGAAGTGAGTGTTTTGTAAAACCTCATTCAGTTCACATGTTGCACTGCATTCCATAGATAGAAACCTGATCGCTGCTGCACAATTCCTCCAGCTCTATGACCCAAACATGTTTCTTTTGCATATGGAGAACTTTAAGTTGTCTGTATGTGTTTAAAGTGAGAGGGGAACATAGGCCTCATGCAAGAACCACTCGTACAAACAGATTAGTTCTTAAGTGGCTTGTACGGGTGATTTGGTTTAAAAAGTGCAATGAGAGTGCTTCTGCAAATGTAAAACTTGTTAGAGCCACAACTCTGCAGACAGACACACTGAACCAGCCCTGTTCCCTTTATTCCACTGCTGACATAGATGAAAATAATAGACTTTCCTTTCTGGTTCTCTGACAGCACGACACAATGTCCAACTCAAAGTTGTTTTTATTCTTTGATGTAATTTTCGCAAATGAACACTTCCTGACATTTGGGGCAGAGTGAGTAGCCTTATATGGTATTATTGGGGCATTTATTATACTAATTTACAGTTCTCATGTAACTCTTTCCTAAAAGCACATCCTCCAGCCCTCAGTCAGTCAAGACAGCTTGCAATTTCAGTGGCTGAACCGTCGAATTAAAACTTATGGGTTCCTCACGTGATGCACACTGGCCCCAAAATACTTTTCCCATAGACTCACACTGTAAAAGAAGTGGATATAAAATGGTGTAAATGTTTTGACTGTCACAACCCATGCGAAATGACTTGTGTCATAATTCGATCTAATTGGTCCAATAACGTTTGGAAAGTCTAGAAGAGTTGCACAATCAAATCATTGTATCCCCTATTTATCTTCTGCCCTCTTTATTTCTAATCATTTGTGTCAATAAAAAAGATGGTAGTTTTAGTAAATGAGCTACAGCAACACTACATTTTATTGAAAGAAAAAAACTCCACTAAAAGCTATGCTACAAGATACGCTACAAGCTACTCGCTAGCTAGCTAGAGTAGCTTAACACACTGCAGCTATTACATTAAGAAACGTCTATTAATGTAAATTATATTTTGTGCTATATTTATTAAACTACAAAACAAATGAATGTGGTCAGCCAGGAGCACTACCAAAACCAGCGGCAACCTACAACCCCACAGATGTTAAATAGATGGGTTTCCCTGCCAGTCAGTAAGAACTGAAGCCTCTTGGATGAGAGGCGAAACATCTTTGAGTATCTTCAGTAAAGTCCAGCTGCCCTTGATTTTGCCATCCCTGGATAACTATGACCTGGATGAATCTTCACAGACATCTTACATTACACAATGACCAAATGCCTGGCTCTTTAAAGGAAAAAAAGTAGCAAATTGAAACATAATATTATTTTGAAAATAGCCAGGCTACCACG